GTGTGAGTCGAAGATGTAACACCTGCCACCATGACAGTCTCAGTTCTGGGCATGCCAGACCAACTGGCCAATGAGTCCATTACCGAGTACCGACAACGGTTCCAAGCTCATCTCGTATTGATGAAGGCTGAGGAACAACGTCAGGCGGCAGCCGAGGCTGCCCGCCTACAGGCTGAAGCAGAGGCAGCAGCTGAAAAGCAGCGGCTTCAGGCCGAAGCAGACACAGATACCCAAGCACGCCGCAAGGAGTCCCAGGATCTGCTACAGCAGCAAGAAGCCGCCAGCATCGAAAAGCTCAAGTTCCGGCATTTCGAACCATCCGAGAGATCATCAAGACCAACCGGGCTGCTGCACACGAGAAGACAGCGTGGCAGCCAACCCATGTGGAGAAAGGAAAATTTGGTCCGCATCCGCAGCATGTCGCTGCAGTCCAACCGGACACCATTGTGGAAGACCCAACAGTCACCCAAGCATCACGTGAGGGAGATCAAGTGGCCGTCGTCGAGCCGCGAAGCAACAACAACTCCCGGGAAAAGGGAAGGCGAAAACCGCATCGCCGGTCGGAAATGGACAGCCAATACCACAGCTCGGGAAACTGAGCTGCACGGGAGGTGAGGCGATTCCACCTCTCACTCCGCCAGATTTGGCCGCATTGCTAGTGGCCTCTTCCACATCTGGTGAGGAGGCGCATGTCGCAAGTCCTTGGTAATCTTAAGAGGATTACGCTGTCCACTTGGTCCTACCGTTGGACCAACCACTCCACGTGCAACAATCCACCACATGCACGGTTTCACCACCATCGGCAACCGATTTGGCAAGTTCTCCGCCATCTATCGTCGGGGATTCGACGTCATGGTCAAGACTTAAGGAGCTCGACCCGTTGACGTTCGCGGACTTCCAATGGATGCCCGTTCCCCTGACCGGTCGATTGGCGAAACCGCATTGCAACGTGCTCAAGGCACAATTGCGGGATTACTTGCACACTACAGTACCAGCTCCGTTGATGGACGCCGGAGTAGAGGTTGTCAACCTCCACGACTACGTTGCCAAGATCGACCACGAGTTCAAGACACAACGGTACGACGACATCGGCGCGCCATTGTTGTACATACGCATTCAGATCGGAGGCGACCTGCAACGCTTTGATCAATTGCGGAAGCACGCACAACTATATGGGCCACGATTTTCTGGTACGCAATGGCTTGGGGCCACGCGTTTGGAGGAAGTCGCAGCCCACGCAAGTCACGTTGGCTGACCGTCACACACACAAGTCAATCGACCGGTGCATTGACCCCGTCCCCGTGTACTTCGCCCCGCATGTAAGCGAGGCCGTGTCCTTCGACATTTTGGACACCAAGTTCGCAGATTTGCAAGCATCTGCAACTCTGATCTACGCCGACTACGAGAGATGAAGACCAGCTAAGGAAGCTTCGCAAACCTGCCCCTCCCACCCCGACTTTGGTCCCTCCCTCCGACAGGCAGCTTCACCCTCGCAGGTAAGCTTGGTCTTTAAAGGAGGGGGGGGTGTGGCATACTGTGCATCCACACGGGCCTGCAAGGCCCGGCCAAACAAGGAAAGTAAGGGCCCTACAGGTCCTGTGTCGTTTTCAGCCTGAAAGCCTGAAAACAAGGGCCTACAGACCCTGTGTCGTTTTCAGCCTGAAAGCCTGAAAGCAAGGGCCTACAGACCCTGTGTCGTTTCAGCCTGAAAGCCTGAAAATGAGGGCCTACAGGCCCTGTGTCATTTCAGCCTAAAAGCCTGAAAACGAGGGCCATTTTCAGGCCCTCATAAAGTTGACCTGCCCTCAAACTTAGGCACCAGACCAGGGTTTTTAGCACAKGCCATTTTTGGCCTGTTTTCAAGACAACCTTTGTTTGAACTTCAACACCAGGGTCTGGCACGTTTTGGCATTGGCAAGAGCAGCCTCCTAGACGGGCCAGCACTATAAGACTGGCCCGCCCTGCAGGCTGCAGGCAGTCAGGAGACCGTCACGAGGTAGTTCATAGGAACTTCCCAGGCACTTCACGTGCAGGAGGCAGGAGGCAGTCTTCAGGATTCGGCAGTAGCACTCTGGAGGAGCGCTGCAGGAGTAGTAGTAGCATTAACAGTAGTCTTCAGCACTGGGCGCTAGTAGGAGCTAGAGTAGCGTTGGAGAGAGAGAGAGATGGTTGGCGGAGGCCAGGGAGACTTACCTGTGGCGCCATAGTCTTCGATGTACCTGCAACAAGGTGCCACCTTCACAGGTTAGTAATGGACCGAGAGAGAGAGAGAGAGTTCTTCTTCTTCCTCTTCTAAGTCCACCATCTCTTCCTCACCCTCTCGCTACCTGACTTCTCAGTATCTGCAGACTACGAGAGAGAGAGATTGGTGACTTTGGGACTTGACGAAATCTGGATGCAGACTCGACATTGGGATTCAGACATTTGACGAGGGATTATTTGGGACCTGTACCGAAGACTTGGTGTTGTTGACATTCCCATCTTCCCCTCTTCTTCGTCTGTGTATGGTTGGGGACTGGCACATTCTTCCTGTGTGAGCACCAGGCCCCTTCACACCATGGAATGATGATGATGTATGCCTGGTCTGCATTGCAACATTGATTGTTTGGATCATTGGTATTTAAGCCTTCCGCTGTGCTATCTTGTACTATGTGAGAGAGGTCGGTTCTTGTTCTGGTCTG